TAAGTTATTAGGTAAGAAAGAAATTAAAAACTAAAGTGTTGTAATTCTAAATCAATGTAAAAAATTAAGATGAATGATGATGTGACAGCTAATGTGGAAAATGATGTGGCATAAGGAGAAGAGAGAAAAAGTTAACTTTATATATATAGATTACCACATTTCAACTATTCTACATAAGAATTGTTAAAAAAATTTAATTCATGTCTTATGCAAATTTTATCTAGAATATATTATATATGCTTGTAAATTTGATATAAAGTTTGTTGAAAATAAATATTTACATATCTTCTTATATTTAGATCGGCTTTCATTCTTCATAAAATATATTAAGGTGTTATTTGAGAGTATTTCTTATGGTAAATAATTGAGTATTTCTTATGGTTAGCTTACAAGGATTGAATGTCAATTTTTGGTTTATATATATTTGAGATTTTTGTTGTGGCATTCAGTCCTTGTTAAGCTAACTTCTATAACGAATACAAACTAAACTAAACCAAAAACATGGTTATATAACAAATACGAACCAAATTAAACTAAACCGGAATGATTAGAATTCTTTATTTTTCTGTATCTTTGAAATAGTTGTAGTTCAACCCAAATTTTACTAAAATCAATTTAACCAAACCGAACAAAATCATTTAAAAAAAAACAAAATAAATAGGAATGTACCTACTCTAGGCCTGGGCAAAATACCCGGATCCGAAAATCCGATCCGAACCTGATCCGAACCCGAACCCGAAATCTAGAAATACCCGAACGGGTTCTATATCTCTAAACCCAAAAACCCGAACCCGAACCCGAACCCGACCCGAACTGAAACCCGAACGGATATCCAAATACACCCATAATATAAATATATGATAATAATTTATTAATAATATATATGTACTTGTAATAATCTAATGTCAAATTATCCAATTTTTGTATATTTTGGATTGTTTTAAAGTTATAAACTCCTATTTAAATAAATTTAAGTCAAAAATTATATAGGTTTTGAATTTTTTTATTAGTTTGGACATATTTGGATATTCAAATTTTGAATTTGGAGAATTCCGGGTAACCCGAACCCAAAACCCGAAATACCCAATCCGAACCCGATCCGAACCCGAAATCTAAAAATACCCGAACGGGTTCTATATCTCTAAACCCGAAAACCCAAAAATCCAAAATATCCGACCCGAACCCGAATGGGTAGCCTAACGCCAGGCCTACTTTTACCAAATCCCCTAATAAGCGTTGACATGAGAAGAAATAATTAAACAAGAATCACACTAATTAAAGAAAGATATCTCTTAAACTTTATGGGATAAGAAGATATTTTTACAACCTGACGACACACATAACAAAGAGAAAACAATAATATCTAGATATGTAGATGTGTATGCACAGTTCCTTGTGATGATATTATTATGCCCATTTGCATTATAAACATGGCAGAGCAATGAACACGTCATTTCTCAACTATTTCAACTATTTATAAACTCAAAAAATTAAAAAAATCAACAAATAATTGTAATTCGTCGATGCTATAACAAAATACGAGGTTTCTTTTCTCTTTTTAACACCTTCTTTTTTGTTGGTTGTACAATCAGATTTATCTATCTTCTTCTGTTCTTTCCGACAAAAACTCAAATCTCTTCTGTGTTCTGTCTCATTTTCTTCATCAAGAAGATGATGATGATACTTGTATAAGTTTTTGTTAGGATATAAGAAATAAAAATCGAAACTTTAAGTTTTGATTTCGTTCTTTGGACAGTGTACCTCCACGTATTCGTCTCTGGTAATAATCATCTCCATCACAAATTCTCTTTTTTTTTTTTTTGTATCTGATGATGATAAATTTGTTGATCATCATCGATTGTATTGGTTTAACTGTAAGTATTAATCTTTGGGAAATTCAAGACTTTAATTAGAGAATTTTACACTTTTGTTTGAAAGAAGCTATGTGGGAATCTTAGGTTTTAATGTTCTAGTTTAATTCAATTTTGAGATTTTGTGAAGGAAATGTTGAGATCATAGTAAGATGTTCATGAGCTCTAGTTTAGTGTTTTTGTTGAAAGGAATGATTTTTACTTCTCAGGTGATGATTTGATTCAGGTCTCTACTAAAGAAGATCTGTAAGGTACAATGTCTGAACAAGTTATGGTATTGGGTAAAGGTAACAAAGGAATCAGCAAGTCTTCCTCAGTGCATCAATATGAATCAGCTTGGTTAGGTCGTTGGACTCAGTTGGGTAATGAAGTTAATTTTCATGATCAGAGTAATAATGGTGAGTCCAAGTGTTCTAAAGGGTTGATTAAGCCTGAAGATGGTAATGTTAAAGAGAATCATGGAGTCGAGGTGTTGCCTTTTCCTATGTTTAAGGTTACTCAGAAGAAAGAGAGCACTACTACTACAGCAAAGCTTCAAGTTTATGACGATGTTGGTTCGAGCTCGAAAGCTATGGTTAATAGAATGCCTTGGATGTATCCACAAGGAGAGAAGTTTAGTTCAAGTAACCGTCTTCCTGATTTCCCAATTCAAGAAAAGACTACACAAAACTTGCTGGAGTTGATAAGACCGGTGAGGATTTACGCGACAGTTGAGCCTGAAGAAGATGGTCATCAGCTATTGAAGGGCTCGACGGTTTCTATGAAACTGAAAGGGAAGATTGTTGGTGGGTATCTTGATCTGTTTCCTAATCTTGACCGCTGCCATAATAAAGGAGGAGCAAGGCTTGAATCTTTAGAAAGCTCAAAGAATACTGAAGAAGATGGGCTGCAAAAAAATGAATCATCGGCGGAGACTGATATCTTAGAGATGGATAGACTTCAGACGATGCATCTTTCCGGTATATTGACAACTTAAGATACATGTTTTAAGTTTTTTTCATAAGCTACTTGCTCTCAGTATATTTTCTGATACCTATTCTTCATGGCAGGCTCCATTTCTTCATCAACTAAGGTATTGTTCATTCTACTTGTGTCTTAGTAGTTTACACATGACTGTGGAAGATACCAAAATCTTAACAATCAGTCTTGAGAATTTCCCAGGGCAAAGGAAGAAAAGGCGATTCGCCTATCCCCAGGACTGAAATACCTGACATGAATGAAGAACCACCTCTGGTTCAGGACAGAGAGAATTCAGTAGAAGGGCATCAAGGAGAAACAAGCAACTCAGCCACTCAAAGTATGAATGCTGAACATTTTCTGTCCAGAGAGTGCAAACGTGTGCGGTTGGAAGCAGAAGACGAACCAAGCAGTAGATGGGTCAAGCGTCTGAAGACAAACGCCTCAGAATCCAGCGGACATGGTGAAACCAAGAGCCTGATGAAGAATGAAGAAGCATCAAAAGGCCAAAAAGGAAACAACAACCTATTCCTTGAAATCATGAAATCCGGAATCAACAATCTCCAACCAAGAAATCAAGAACCTGTAACTTCACAAATCAAGAATCAAAACCAGGGAGGAGAAGACATTACCCTTCTGCATCCATGGATCCAGAGATGGTGCAAGAAGAAAGCTACGTCCACAGATCAACCAGAAGGGCAAGAAGCTAGCTTTGAGCCAGAGAACCAAAAGGAAATCGAGAAGAAGCATTTCCCAAGTATTGCAGCCATGGCACTGATGGGTAAAGCACTGAGCGGTTTAAACCCCTATGCTCTTAGAAAGACCGACTCTCTCATGGTCTGGAATGCTCGGGATTTGAGGTAGAAAACCAAAATCATCATCATGCTCTTCTATGTTTATCATTCTCATCAAATTCGTGTAAGATTTTGCCAAGTTCCTCTATAAGTGTCAGTCTTGACTACCAAGTTCCTCTATGTTCTTATAATAGTCTCTCTTTTCATCATAAACCTTCTTTGTCAGTCGTTACAGCATCACTAGTACATACCACAATTTCTGATTCCCTACAAACACATTACTAAGAAAAGCATGAAACTTTTAATACATTAGTTCCATCTTCGGACACATAAAAGGCACAATTCAAAGTGGCAAGTAAGTCCATTCTCTCAAAATCTTGATTGAAGGCAAATGGATCAACATCTAAACACTGACTCAAGCAAGACTAGAGAACACAATGGGAAAGAAACTTAGTTGTGGGTAGCCCAATGTCTTTACATTTAATATGGTTGACACAAAACCAGCTCTGGGAGGGTAATAAAGTTACAGTATGAAATAAAATATCGACCAAAAAGATATCTACACATATAGGAAACAAAAGAAACAAATAGAAGATAAGAGAGAATCACAGAGGCTATTACCATGTTCCGTCCATTACCGCATGTTATATATTGCTCTTATCTTCTGTTACTTTAGTTAGCTACTTTACAAAACATGCACGTTCCCGTTGTGTCTATAGTTAACATGATTTTTGAGAGTAGCTCTTGTGTCATATCAACAGCCACAGCCCACAAGATGTTGAAATGTGATTCAATGCTTGGTCAAAGAAATAAATGTGAGAGTTTAAGTATTTGTCAGTTATGGTTTTAATATTAATTTGGGGGTTTCAAATTATGTTTAATGTAGGATAATAATGAGTCCATGGGGTAATGGGAGTAAGTTACATTTCTAGTGTCTATATAAGTTATGTAATCTCATTGTGAGAAAAGTGAACAAGAGAGAACACAAGAGAATCAGAGAAATAAAAGAGTTAAGAATCATTCAGTAGAAGTTCTTGTTCTCTGTACGTCTTACAGCTCTTCTTTGTTCCGCACGTCTGTTAGTATAACAGAGTGGTTTGTAGAATTCGGTTATACTTTCTTTGTTTTTACAACAATGTGGTATCAGAGCGTTAGGTTTCAGTCCCCTTTGATCTTTGTGTGGAAAAAGACAAAGTGAGCGTTTGCGTTTCAGTCCTCTTTGATCTTTGTGTGGAAAAGACAGAGTGAGCGATGGCAGCCAATGGAGGAAACCAACAACTATCAGTTCCACAGTTCAAGGGTGAGAAGTATCATCTTTGGAGTCTTAAGATGAAGACTATGTTCAGGTCTCAAGAGATTTGGGATTTGGTGGAGAATGGATTTGAAGATGCGAATCCAGCAGAACCCGAGCAGCAGCTACGGGAGAATCGCAAGAAAGATGCGAAGGCGCTGTTCTTCATTCAGTCAGCCTTGGATGAAGATATCATGTCACGGATTGTAGCCGTGAACACGTCTCACGAAGCGTGGGAAATTTTGAAGCGTGAGTACCAGGGAGATCAGAAGGTAATCAC